AGAGAGAGAGAGAGAGAGAGAGAGAGAGAGCTAGATCTATCGGCACACTTGTAACCTTAAGGTGGCACCTTTGTATCCTTTTTGGCACTTTTGCAACCATGTGGCACTAATGTATCCTGGCACTTATGTAACCTATGGCACATGTGTAACTTTGTGGCACAATTGACACCTTGATGGCACATCTGTAACCTTGTGACATGTGACATCTGGCCTCTAAGGCCTGGGTTCTAGCTAATCATCCAAAATGGCTGCACAAGGACAAATCTCGGATCCCTGTGAGTATTTACGCGTTTTTTAATTATTTTTTAAGCATACCTCATTAAGTAAGAAGTCTTTCAACACCCTTATAGCTTTAATGTTACATTAGCTTAACTTTAGTCGCAGGATTGTGTGCAAAGTATTCTTAACTCGCATAATTGAACAAGGCACGTGCTCTGCGGGGCTGTTTTCACGAAGTTACTACTGCTTTATTGCAATTTGGGTCCATTCTGTGATTTATAAGTCATAAGTTAGTGCCTTTACTCAAACACAAGATGCTCCTTCGAAGTTATGAAGTAGAAAGCAAACACATGTTAGTACGGAGCATTTACCATAATAATGTTTTGATGATTTTTGCAAGCATAGCTTAAAACTTTAAAAACGTGTTCCAGTTCTTGAATCCATGTCCTAGACTGCTTGCAGTCCGCCTTTTCTCTTAAAATCAGTCCAGTTCTTATGCAAGCCAGCAACAGACAACAGGAAACAGTTTCAAACCCTAAACATGTATAGTCTAACTCTTAAATAACAGAACTGGAGCTCAATTCATGCGAAGGCACGTTTTAGCAAATAGCGTGACATGGCCCTTTTAGGGACCTGTCATTATTTATGTAGAAGCGGGTGGGGGGGGGGCAGGTTCAAAGCTATTTTAGATTGGCTAGAGGGGGTGGGCTGAACGATTTTATAAAGAAGTTTAGGGGGGTCAGCAGTTTGATCGTGAGGCATATTTTAATTTAAGAGGGGTCCATTGGCCAAGATGGATAAAGCAGTTAAAGATAGTTAAATAGTAGAGCACCAAAAATATATATGAAACAGTAATGCTAAATTGTTCAAATTTTTGCCAATCATGCTTTTTGTTTATTTAAAGCATCACTATTTTGTACAACTTAGTCATTTGTATTTGACAGAAATTCTGTTTGCACTCTAAACTTCATTATTATATTTCAATTTTTAGCTAATAAAGAATCCAGACCTATCTGCTTTAATATTTGGTTTGGCTGAATTTTATTTTAGCGAAATGCTTGTCACTTCAATATCCCAAGAAAAACATGATGAAACAACAAGAAAGAAGTCCTTTCACAACTGCAGGAAAATCATTTGAAAAGAATTATATTTTGTGTGGTTATTACATTTGTGTTCACTATGAAGGCACGATTTAAAAAAATCTATCACTTTTCCTATATTTATACCCTGGTTTTGTAATAGAGCAGGTTAGCTTCATTGTTATGCAAAGTAACTAATCATCTTATGATTAGTATGTTTATTTACCAATTAAGTCTTCACTCTTAAGAGAGTATTGTTACATGCATTTTAACAATTACTTTGTAGAGCATGTAAGAGGAGATATGAGGTGGTGGTGGTGGTGGTGGGGGGGGGGTCATCACGTAAATGTTGAATAAAGAAGGGGGGTCACTTGCTGTTTACATGGTCTGCAGGTGGGAGGCTTACAGAAATTTTGATCTTTCCAACATATTTTTCCCTCCCCCCCCCCACCCCCTCTACATAAATAATGACCGGTCCCTTAATCAAAAATGCATATGTTGAGTTTCCCAGTGACTAGATACCCAGCAGCCGGGAAATGTTTTCAAAATACTAGATACTCAATTGCAACAGTCTGATATACACATCCCATTTTCACAATATATACCTTTTAATTCTTCTAAGATATATTTGTTTAGAAGTCACAAGCAATTTCGTACATTTGTCTTGGGTTTGGAGGAGGTGGAATTTTCAAGCTTAAGCATACAATGAAATCTCAATGTTTTTGACACTATATATTATATGTTTTGTGGCACTATTATGCTGTTTTGTGGCACTATTGTGAGGTAATCAACTAAATAATTAGTAATTATTACAGACTTAAAGACTGGTATTTTTTCAATGTCTAAGGACAATTTATCAGCTGAAAACAGAAGTATACCTAGTTTACATTAACATGACAATTTTTTTTGATCACATCCAGTTTAAAAAATGGATTATCGTGGTGTTGAAGCAAGACTGAAAGATTTGAAAGTAGCAGAAATGGCTGCACTGCGTCGGGGTGATATGGCAGCAGCCAAAAGGGTGAGTCTGGTGTACACATAATAAATTTTTATTCTACCCAGTAATTTTTCTTTCATACTATTTTGACAGATAAAATTCTGATAAATTTCATTATGTGTACAGCAGAAGAGGGAGAGGGGGAGAGGAAATTTTTCATTTTTTTTTTCATACCCCCCTACTCCTCACACAGCATTCCTTGACACGTACATACCCCCTCTATACCTAAAGAAAAAAAATACAGCCCAGTACTTGATTAGGAAATAAATTGGTAATGCGACCACTAATTGTGTAGAGATGCATAACACAGAACAAACGTATTTGAGAATACCAGTGCCCATAACACAAACAGCCTCCACATATTTTCTGGGCTGATTATCTTTATGGTATCAAACTTCAAAGTTGTTTGATTAGAGAGCAAAATCAACTTGTGCAACTGGTACAGTTAAGGAAGTGACCATAAATCCAGCCGTTGGGAGGAGGGGGTGGGGGGGAAGTGGAGAGTGACCATGAATCCAGTGGAACCTATATGGGGAGGTTCTGCTTGACACAGGTACTTATTTTCAGGCTTCAAGCATTTGAAAGGGTATGGGTTTCACCATAGTTTTATCCTCTGTTGGTTTCACCAGTTGAAGTATATGAAGGGGTTGGCAAATCGGTCATTTCGGTCTGTAAAATGACCTAAAAGGACTACCAGGTTCATTTCATGGCTGTCAAAAAGACATTTAAACTTTCTGGTTTAATGATATATTCGTTATATAAAAGACCATGTATTTACATTGCAGCAGACTCCGTAGGATTTTGCGCAATCTAAAGAGACTCTTTATAATTATTAACTGCTTTCTGTTTGTTCCTACATTTTTATGCTTGTTGTTGTTTATTTATTTACTTATTTATTTTTCATTATTACAAGCCATTCAATACAAAAAGGGGGTATATACAGAAACTTAAATGTAACACGGGTGAAATAAATGTACTAAAAGGTCATCATCCTTTTAATTGCTCTGTAACAGAATATATAGAAAAACTTTAAGTTGACTCCTCCTTATAGGTGCTTATAGGTAGAGACACTTCCGTTTTAAGAAGAACAATATGTCACGACTGATGTATTAGATTTTAACTTGCTTTTACTCTGTTTTTAGCGCAGGGAAAAACAGTTTACCTTAAGACATAAGTGGACAGCGCTTCAAGCCGATTTCTTTAGCCACCTTCAAAACGAAGACGAAGAGTCTGGTGGACTAGGCGAGGAAGAAGATTACAGTGAAATGAACGAGACTGGTGGAAGTGGTACTAACAGCAGCAAGAGCTTGCCTGAAAAAGAGAAAGGTGATGCGAATGAAGCATTTACCGGCAAAAAGGTTAAGAAGGAAGGAAAGCGTGAGAAGCCAGAGCCGTGCCCAGTACCAAATTGTGACGACGAAGAGTTTGGTGAACTAGGCGAGGAAGAAGATTACAGTGATATGGACGAGTCTTCTGAAACTGGTTCTGACGGCAACAAGAGCTGGCCTGAAAAAGAGGAAAGTGATGCAAATGAAGAATGTAACGAAAAAAACGTTAAGAACGAAGGAAAGCGTGAGAAGAAGCCGTGCCCAGTACCAAATTGTAACGCCAATGTTGTTCACCTCCCAAAGCACCTCCGCAACGTCCACAAGTGGCATGCAGAATATGCTAGAACGGCACTATCAAGATTCAAGCTCCGCAAGAAGTATGAATTTGCCAGTCAAGAAGCAGCTTCTGCTGGTAATCGTAGCCGTAAAAAAAGTGAGGAAAAGAAAACCAAGCCGAAGCCCAATCGAAAGAGAAAAATATGTCCTTTACCTGGGTGTATGGTAATTACAGAGAGATTGCCTCAACACCTTCAAAGAACACATAAACTAAAAAGAGAAGATCCGAAGTATAAAAAGTATCTTTCCCTCGCAAAGGTTGTTTCTACGGACAAACCTCATGTTTTTATGCGTATGAAAGAAGAAATGGGGCGGATGCAAAGGCTCACTCCAGAGTTCGTAGTGAGAGGTGAGGAGCTCGAAGATACTTGCGACAATTCAGAAGACGGTTTCCTCTCAAATATCCAAAGTTATGACTGTGATGAGAAACAAGACGTATTTGACTTATCGCCACCAGAAGACGAGTTGGCAGAGATGACAGAGAACACAAAGATGGCAAGCCCCGTAGCCAGAAACAACTCAGAGACTGAAACCAAAGTCCTGGACCAATTTTGTAACTGGATGTTGTCTCCTGATGGGGAACAAAAGGACCGAAAAACCGCAACGCAGCATGTCGCTCAAGTGAAAAGAATTATCTCAACATTGGGTAAGGGACTTGAATGTTTACTCGACAAGAAAGAGATCAGAGATGTTTTTCTACCCAATGCAAAGGAAAAATACCATCCTGCTACTATTAAGTCGTATTTGACGAGTCTTCAACACTTCTGTTCCTTTTTATTGGAAGACAACCCAAGTGACGTCAACTTTGAGAAAGATAACATCATTATCCTGCGTGACAAGCTAAAGAAATGGTCAGCGTCGTACAAACGGGATACCACAAAACGTAGATGGGAGAGACAGGAGGAGGATGTGAGTGCCTTGATAACTCCAGAAACGGTGAAGGCATTCGAGACGAGCCAGGCTACTCGAGATGCCGTTGTTATTCTAGGAAAACTGTCTGGAAAACACAATATGGAAATTACACAGGCTAGGTACACACTTGTTAGAGACTACCTCATAGCTCAGATTATGATCGACAATGCAAACAGGTCAGGGGTAGTTGCTTTTATGACTGTGCAGGAATTTCGGCGTGCTAAGATGGAAGATGACCGATATGTTGTGAAAGTTCTTGAGCATAAAACAGTAGATACTCACGGCCCCGCTCAAGTAGTCCTGACGGTGCATTTATACAATTGCCTTGATATTTTTCTAAAGGAAATGCGCTCCAAGCTTCCTAGTGCGCAAATGGAAGGAAAGCAGCCATTGTTCCTTTCATGGGCGGGGAACAAATTACAGTCAAGCCAGATCACCTCTGCGATTGGATCTATATTTAAGAAAGCTGGAGTGGAGGGTCGAGTACACCATACATTGTATCGCAAAAGCGCCGTTACGCGATGTCACAATAAGCACAAAGAAATCAGTAGCAACTTGGCGGATTTAATGGCACATCGTGAATCAACTGCTGAGAAGTACTACAGGCACACTGAGAAGACGACTATGAGAGGATATTCTCCTACAAAAGAAGAAAACGAAAAGGTTGAGAAATGTCGTGAAGATATTCAAGAAGAGAGTGCACCCCTATCTCGGTCTCCATGGAAGGAGAATTCACTCCAAGCTTTGCGAGAAATATTTGAAGAAGAAATATCTGCACAGGACATTACTTTGGCCTGCGTACGAGAAAAAATTGAGAGCCATCCAGTGCTAGGCCAGGAAGACCCGAAGAGAGTGTACGATAGGATTCGTGCAGAATGGCGTTATAAAGCCAACATTGATTATAACAGCAATGAAGACGACGCAAAGTTGCCAGAAGAGAAGGAAGATATGCAAGAACGAGTAAATAGATTGTTTAGCCAATCAGAGGAGGAACTTCCTGAGAGAAGGAGTCTTTCATCAGACTTCGTTTCTGTGACCGAGTCTACTGTCCGCTCGAAGGGACTATTTACCACTGGAGATGCCACAGCTTTGGTGGATATATTTCAGGATATGGTAGTCCATGGAAAGCCAATTTCGAAGCCTGTCATCATCAAGCGACTATCATCACATGAGACATTTAAAAGATTACATGTCGATCAAGTTGTCAACAGGTTGAAATATGAACGGAAGCAATGGAGGAAACTACACCCGTCTGAATAAACTGAAACTTTCCTTAGAAGCCTGGAGTCAAATAGTGTTCAAGAACGGGAACCAGTTTAAATTAACTTTTGGCGTTTTGTGACAATCATGTTTATTGTTCCAGTTTTCTAGGAGTTACAGTTACCTGATTAAGAGCTGAAACTTTTGCTAGCACTCCTTAGGTTAAATAATATTCAAGCATTCAAAGTAAGTTGTGATGCATTTGGGTAATGTTTCGTCGTTTCTTTTCGGCCATCCAGTGTCTTTTCAACGTTCCAGTTTTTCCGGTTTGGAGGCATGAGTAACAGTAATCTGATTAAGAACTGAAACTTTCGCTAGAATCCTTAAATCAAAAGATGTCCAAGCATTTAAAATAACTTTTGATGCATTCAGGCAGTGTGTCGTCGCTTCTCTTTAAGCTTCCTGGCACGAGCTCACCGCTTTTATCACGTAATTTTGGAAGTAGTACTATGTAATTAGTAAATAACAAAAGTGTAAAGAAGTGTAAAAGAAATGCGATGGAGTGAAATGTCTTAAAATTCTTGGAAGTTTTCGTCTTAATTTATTCACTATGGGGTACCGGAATTCACTACGGCAGCCCAAAGAGGACATTCACCATTACTGTTAAGTAGCAATCTCGCCTTAACTTCACCTTACCGCTAGATCAGTCATCTTGCGAAATCTAAGATAATGTAAATGTATTGCATCACAGTTATTACACGAAAAAGTAGGACTGTTTGTCCTCCATGGACCACCGTGCTTTACTTAAAATGTTGGAAAAGTTATCCCACTTAGCTCGTTATAGGGTACGGTAACACGAGCAAAAAAAACGTGCAACTTTTTTTGCGACTTTGCTGCAAAACGAGTTGAATGGCGAGGTCAGGGTTGCGCGTTTCACCACCCACGAAAAAAAGAACCTTGCAACCTTATTTGACGCAAGATCGGTTCGATCAGGGGTGGTAAAACCCGCAACGTATAGCAGTTTTTCCTGTTCGATTTTTATATTATAAACCTTTGTTTGGGCTGGTCATTAAAAACAGAGTTAATTCGTTGTACGAAACCGTGCCAGAAAAGCCATTGTCAATTTCGCCAACTCTAGTGTCTAAAGTTTGACTACTTTTCACGTGTGTCAAGAAGACATATTGCCCAGACTAAATTAAGCAAAAACGTGTTACTTAGAATTTATTACCCACTCATGCAGAAAGAGGGACATATAGCGATTGTCGCGGTCTAAAGAGCCTGTTCACACACCCTCTATTTTCTCTTCAAAGTCCGTCGAGCGGGCGTCATAAATAATAAAAACCGCGGGGTTTTCGAAAAGAACGAAAGGAAAAATAAAACAACGTCTGTGTACAGGCTACGGTCTAAGTGAGACTTTTTTTACATTTCCTTTGCCTGCGACGTTGCGTGGTAAAATCAACGACAAAATTATAAAAAAAAGTTGGGGATGTGCCTGATTTTTCAAATTAGCATCAGTCATCCGCACGGCTTAAACTCCGACTTCCCTTTCCTCTAGGCCGCGCACAGATTCACGCTCGCACTACAGTATTAATTTTTATTCCACGGCGTATACAAACATTGCACCTGATCGAACACTGATGAAGGGCACGGCACGAAACGTTTGGAAAACAACTCCATATAAAACACGGCACTTTACTTTTTAATGAACGTTTTCTTCGCTTACTTTTCAAAGTGTCACGCGTTTTGAATTTTATTTGAAAGTTATTTAAACTTTCAAATAAATGAAAAAAAAAATTCACAGGAGGCATAACCTGTACCAGGAAAGCAAAGAAGTAACTGGGGATACGGTACTCCTGCCGCACCCTTCGTAAGATGCCCTTATGCAACCGGTTTAGGTGTCTAACACCCTAAGGCGACGCACTGTAATCTTTGATATTACTTCTAGTTCTTATATATGGTCTCTATTTCGTTGGATGTAAATCGGAACTAAAATCCCGAAAAAATCTTCTTAAACGAAACTCATCCAGTGATACTTCGGACTTTTTATATATATACATTTTTTTTTACACACACAAAAGTGATCCCCGACCCATCCTTCTGCCTAGTCCCCGCATTTTTTGGCTTTCTTAAATGTTGGCTTATTTCTTAGGACCCCTTCAGATACTTCGAAGTGATGAAAAAAAAAAAATTGGTACATGAAAAGACTTTTTGTAGAACACCTTTTAGCAAGCGAGTAACTTAACTAAAAGCTGCGATTGAGCTGCATCGCATAAGCACAGAAAAGTGTCTTGTGGCAATAAAAGCTTTAAAGCTGCAGAACTAAAACTACTAGCAGAGCAATTTCTAACTATGACCAACAAGTGTGGGGAGTGATTACAATTTTCACGAAAAATTAACTCCATTCTCTGAACGTCATAACTTCTAGCAAAAATCACGAAATGTGGCACTTTTGTAACGCGATTGAAACGCTACATAGGGTTATGAAAAATTGACCAAAGAAAAAAAAGGGATTGAGATATTACTCTGAAACTCTGAGAGCACAATGCTGAAAGGTGACCGTTTACCATAAAGTTAGTTTCATCTCTTTTTGTTTAATGGTTTGGGAACAGTGATGTTCGAAAAATGAAATTGTAAAATTATGGCCTTAACTGAAATCCTAAACTTGACTGTACATGAAAGTGTATATGCTTTCAAGTCATTTTTTTGTAATCTTCCCAAAACTGATTTAAAACGTACTGGGGTAAGAAGGAGAACGCACAGGCATTTATTGGTCTCACATCTATCCGCATTGTGGCAAGAAAATTGGAATTTACCCTTTCTTTGTAGTCGTTACCCTGGTGAGTGGCACACATGTACCCTTTTTAAGTTTAAGGAGCTGTTAAAAATAGGCTGATTTTCCAGTGAAAACCAAATTCACAGTGAAGCTTCTGCATGCTTTATTGAAGCCGAAAAAAGGTTTAATTTGGATTTGTAGCTTAAAGAAATTCATTTTTTGAACGGAGACGAAAAGGTTACAAAAGTGGTGCCTTTAGATCTAGAGAGAGAGAGAGAGAGAGAGAGAGAGAGAGAGAGAGAGAGAGATTTATGGCCAAAGCAAGATCACACTAGCTTCGCTTGGCGATCCTCGTGACAGTCACTCGTGATGCGAATTCCGACAAATTGTAAATCTCGCTTCGCTTAGCTCGGAATAAAAGTAATTTCCCCCCAGTTTGGTGCAGGTGGTTGTTCATGTGATCTTTTAATGTATGAACGTATGCGGTTACTTGCACAATTTGATGCTTTAAAAACATAAAGTGTAAATGGAGTTTTAATTTTAGTGTCCATGTTCTCACCGTGGGAGCAAGAGACTTCATGTGCGGTTTTGTCCGAGAATGTGTCGGCCCCCGAAGCATCCCACCTCTAATACCCGGGGTACAATGTTTGTTGTCAAAAACAACTCAACTTCGTTCGTACAACTTCAGCCAAACAAAATTCAAGGACTCCTTAAGGACAAATCACGGTTTTCAAGGACTAAAATTTAATTTATGTAATAAATCAGCATTCTTTGACCCCCTTTTGAACGCCTTACATGGCTTAAACACTTGATGGAGTCATTTACAATTATTTTTTATTCATTCAGCCATAAATGATCACATTATCATATACTACATGTACATTACATTTACTTTCCGTAACAACTGTTTGCAAAGTGGCAACTGTCATTGGGTATGATTTTCAGTACTGTTGCATCTGAGGTACAGAAAGAGCATTTGAAATAAGAAACTGAAATAAAATATTGCTCATGTACAAAAATCTGTTTATGTTTCCCTTGCGTTTTACAGGTTCTTAGACCTAGCATGAGCCAAATAAACAAAGTAGTAAATTTAAGGACTTTTCAAGACCTAGAAAAGAAATCAGCAAAACAAAACAAACAAAACTTTTGTTAACACTTATTAAACCTAAATAAAGTTGCCCTGCAAATTAGCAAAGAAACGCTATTCCAGGCAGTAAAAAGTAATCGTATTAAAAATAATNGGTTTTGTCCGAGAATGTGTCGGCCCCCGAAGCATCCCACCTCTAATACCCGGGGTACAATGTTTGTTGTCAAAAACAACTCAACTTCGTTCGTACAACTTCAGCCAAACAAAATTCAAGGACTCCTTAAGGACAAATCACGGTTTTCAAGGACTAAAATTTAATTTATGTAATAAATCAGCATTCTTTGACCCCCTTTTGAACGCCTTACATGGCTTAAACACTTGATGGAGTCATTTACAATTATTTTTTATTCATTCAGCCATAAATGATCACATTATCATATACTACATGTACATTACATTTACTTTCCGTAACAACTGTTTGCAAAGTGGCAACTGTCATTGGGTATGATTTTCAGTACTGTTGCATCTGAGGTACAGAAAGAGCATTTGAAATAAGAAACTGAAATAAAATATTGCTCATGTACAAAAATCTGTTTATGTTTCCCTTGCGTTTTACAGGTTCTTAGACCTAGCATGAGCCAAATAAACAAAGTAGTAAATTTAAGGACTTTTCAAGACCTAGAAAAGAAATCAGCAAAACAAAACAAACAAAACTTTTGTTAACACTTATTAAACCTAAATAAAGTTGCCCTGCAAATTAGCAAAGAAACGCTATTCCAGGCAGTAAAAAGTAATCGTATTAAAAATAATGAAAATTAAACAACATGGCAATACAGAAGTTAATCTATAGAGTTTTAATGTTGAATGATATTGCCTGGCAGTCACAGGAAATAAATGAAATATGTAAATATTATAACTTTTTCTTTTGCTTAATACTAGAAATACGTGTATCGCAGAACCTCGTGAAGGTCGGGGGAGGACGGGAGAGAAATTTAGTAAATTAACAATTCAGGGTGTCCAGTTCCTAATTTTTGAGCATATTCCTATTTTCTCCTAATTTTAAACTAAAACCTCCTATTTTTAGTTGGTTTCGCCAAAATTTGTAACAAAATTGAAAATGGAATTGTAGTATGGAATTGTAGTAGTCGGTGCACTCCTGGACCAAACACACTGATGGTACGGGATCCACCGTCAGGGTCGTCTTATTCGATTACCGGAAGGCTTTCGATTTGATAGACCACGCGCTTCTCGCTAGGAAGCTGCTGGCCCTGGACATGCCGGTTGGCGTATCGTTTTGGATCATCGATTTCCTTACAGATCGCTCGCAGAGAGTCAAGTTGGGAGTAGATTGCTTGTCTGAATGGAGGAACGTACCGGCACGGGTGCCTCAGGGAACCAAGCTCGGGCCGTGGCTGTTTATTCTCATGATTGATGACATCAACACCAGTAACACGGAACTGTGGAAATACGTGGATGACACAACTATTGCAGAGTGTGTTGACAAGAAGGGAGACAGCCGTATCCAATCTGATGTGGAGGAACTGATCGCTAAGTCTAACCAAAACAAGTTCCAGCTAAACGAGTCGAAGTGTAAGGAACTACGGATTTCGTTCGCTAAATCAGCCGCGGATTTGCTCCCATTGTTATCAACGGGAAAGCAATAGAGGTAGTGTCCACTGTTAAGTTGATAGTTCTAAATATATCATCGACCTCCGGTGGAACTGTCACGTTGCTGAAATAAGTAAAAAAGTAGCGAGTCGATTATATTTTCTTAAACAACTGAAGAGAGCGAATATTCCCGCCAAAGATCTGCTAATCTTTTACTTGACCTGTATCCGCCCAGTAACGGAATACGCATGCCCGGTGTTTCACAACGCGCTTCCCGCATATTTATCCGCAGAGAGAATTATTTTTCCGCTTGTATCATATAGCGACGCATTACATCGAGCCAACTTGGAGACGCTCTCTCGACGCAGGCAGTCTATCACAACTAAGCTTTTTGATTCCATCACTTGTAACTTAGACCATAAACTGCATGAGCTCTTGCCACCTCGTAACAATTGTGAATCCAATTTAAGACGAAAGAGGAATTTTAATGTCCCTCTGGCTAAGACGAAGAGACTTAAGAACACACATATATATATAGCAACTGTAATTAAATTTTTTAGCTACACATGTGTACGTTTTTCTTATATTTTTTCTCATATTTTTCTTAGATTTTATTATTGTAACGATTAATCTAATTCAGCTTTTGACTGCGATTGTAATCAGAACAAACTATCTATCTATCAGTTGAATGTGTTTTAGAGTAAGATTTATCATAAAGCAAGTAGTATGTTGACTTTGATTTTCTAATATTAGCAAAAATAGCAGTTACATTTCTTCTTTCCATGACGTCTATTTCCCATCGGAGTTCTGTTAGCAACTTTTCTGTATTGTTACTTTTTGTATAATTTTCTGGTGCACCTGCATGTATTCTATAGTCCCCATGACTATTGAATAATATTGTGCATAGCCTACTGAAACTGCATTTCAGTATCTGTACATGTTTTATTAGTCCCCCTCGCGTAAGCAGCGAGACTCATAATCTGCAACGCGTTTTTCGCCGGGGGGGGGGGTAGTCCCTTGTATAGGCTATATGGGTATGTGCGGCGCTAAAGGGTATGTTTTTTTTTTTGCCGGTTTAGTCTGAAATAGGGTATCAATTTCGACCATTTTGGTCTGAAATAGGGTATTGTTTGTGCTCTCAACAACCCACCCAATTTTCTGGAAGTACCCCCCCGGAATTTTTGGTCGAATTTAGGACTCAAAAGGGAGGTCATTGTGCCAGGCGTTACTTCCGGAGACCGTGGAAACTGGGACTAAGAATCGTTGCGTGATCGAAGCAACGAATGTTTTGCAAAGAAAGCTTAGGAAAGATTCAATTTAGAGCTTTTCCGAAACGTGTCGATCCACGAATTCTATCGTTTGAAAGCGTTGATTACTTTGGAACAAGTGAACACTACCGAATGGTCGAAAAAAAAAAAGAATCTTAAGTAGCATGCAAAATTGCGATGGTCGGGTGTTGTAAACTTTCACTGTACGCAAATGGGTCTTGTGATGAGCATGCGATTTATTTTCGGTGATCATTGAAATGAAGTGCCATGTAAATCTCGTTTTTGATATCTGATAATGATGTAATTTCTCTGGAATCGATGCCCTTGAATTTTCGTGTATTTATACACGCGTATAGCCTGCTACTGTCGAGGTATTTCTGATGGTACTAAATCAATTCAGAGACAAGTAAAAAGTATCGCCGTCGATAGAGTAGGAAGTAAAAAACCTTTAGGGAGTAAATCATGTTTCTTGTAGAATTAATCAACTCATTTCTCGATCTAATCTGTGTAATCTCCAAGCAGGCGAGACTGAAGGCCGCTGTAAGCGCGTTCTTCTTTTAGTTCGGAGTCTTGCTCGCTTTTATGTTCATCTTTGAAACTGAAAACAGGATCAAGTAGTCCTCTCACAACACAGATCAGATAAATCATTCAATCAGCTTCTTGTTTAAAAAGCCAATCACTTGCTGGTTCTGTATGCTACATGAAAAGAACAGACTCAAGTTTAGTTTACGGCACTAGCTCTCTTATACTTAAACAACCAACATTCAATCGAGTACGTAGGTGAGATGTGCGAGACAAGTGAGATAGCAAGTTTGCGAAAATAAATTCTCAAAGGGAAAGATTTGCTTTATTTTATTAAGTAAATCATAGTTTCGGTAAAAAAGCAGGACGATTTGACATTCAGGAGAACAGGGCTTTAGCTTTGCAGATCAGCGAGTTTCCATTTCCGCTTCGTCGCTCCAAAGAACACAACAAAGACGTTGAATAGCCAATTCGCTCGGAAACTGAGATAACCTAGCATATGGCGAACCTCGCACAAGGAAAGCTAGTGACTGGAGAATATTCCTCTGTTTGCAGGTCGATATAGCGAAGATATACCAGTTTAGAAACATCGAATGGTCGCTCAGTTCTCTCTCTCAACACAATTGTACGGCAGCCATCGGCGTGAAAGTAAAAGATCACGTGATAAAAGTTCAGTAATAATATAGCTGGATACAAAGCATCATGGGAAGGCGTTTCAATTCTTCTTGCCACCAACCAAAAGGCAGTTTAAGCAGCGACGTTTTTGAGCGACGCACGTCAACCGGAAGTGGGCATTTTTCTTTTTTAAAATACCTTGACGCTATCAAATTTGTACTGCTAAGTTTCTTTGCTCTTATAGAGACGATTTGCTAAAAAATTTGTTCAAAATCACCGATCAAGAGTGTAACAAGTCCACTTCCGGTTGACGTGTGCGTCGCTCAAAAAAGTCGCTGCTTAAATTCTCTAGTCTCGTACGCAGACGTCTCTCTGTCGATTGGCGCGCAAAGGAAGGCGGGAAGAGGACAAAGAACGAGACCGCCATAAACCAACGCTAAACGCTAAACCTCCCGTCTGTACCCTTCCCATGGTCCCTTACGGTTCATCACTAGTCACTCACGTTTTGCGCTCGCCTCTCCTCCTCAGGCGCTTCGTTTTTCGCATGGTAGGCTGCGATAGATTTGTAAGCCAAGAGAAAATCACGCTGGCCTTGCGATGCTCTTGGGAAACACGCGCGCTTCTCGCGCGACGAGATTATTATTGTAACTGTTTGTAGTGTTTACCGTTGTACTGAAAGTACGTCAAACAGGGGTTAAGCAGGTCCATAATGTCGTCTGTAGGTAGTGGTAGTTCAACAGTAGAGTTCTTATAGCGTTCTCAGTACAGTCTAGAGCCAGTTGAAGTGGAATACTGGTGAACACGTCAAAGGACACTAGTTTTTGGTCGTCCGGTATCTGTATTGTCTTAATGGCGTCCATAAAGTTCTCAGTAGACTGTAGTTTTTGTCTGGATTCGTCAGTCAGTAGTTTCAGTACGTTAGGTAAGTTTTTAGACAGTCGGTAGGTCGGGGACCCACAGTACAACGGTACCCACAGTACAACTGTCAACAACAACAGTCCTATTCAGGACTACGTTCACCCAGACGATCAAACTCAACCTTCTTTTGACCCTGTTTACTTGTAACATCATGGTGTCTGGATATCGGATAAAACAGTGTTTAAAGTGCTTAAGATACATGCACTTTCTTATTTCAATACAAATAAAAACAATCAGTAAACATTTCATGGTCATAGTAAGAAGGTACTGGATGGCAAATTTCCTTCACACTAGGGAAGTCCTTTGCTCCTGCTTTATGAGTTATAAATGAGCTTTATATATGGCTGTCAATTAAATTCACATAATTTTCTTTGCTCAATTCTTGTGATGTAAATATTAGGTTGGCATATAGAACGCTCCTCCTGTCCTGTCCTCCTTCTTTTTAGAAATCAGGCGAAGGTTTAGAATGATTAAGAAACAAGGCCTCACTGAATGGCGTTTGAAAACCCCATCAAAACAACACAGCAAACTTGAGGTGTAAAACAGCCCACGTTAACTGAGAGAATCAAGCTGACTCTGAATGATTTCCAGCTACACAGGAGAAAAACACAAATAAATAACAGTGTTGAACAATAGTCTAGAATATGAATAATGATGATAATTTGGACAAGTGAATATGATGGCTGGGCTTCCCATTGTCGTGTGTCAAAGTACTATTGAGTAAAAGGTGCAAAAGTAACACAAATCTGAAAGTAAGATGTACTTCCTTCCAAGCTGTTTTATTTATTGCAAAAGCAGTACCTAACCACTGACCTGATTATAAAGGGCATATAATTCTTCATGGGTGAATTCTACATGGACTTTTTCCCTAACACCCTGAAATAAGATCAAGACTATGGTCAATACACTTATTCACTTAACGGTTTCCTGATTTTCAAGGTTGAAGATTAGTCTTCAGTATGATAATCTGAAGGCTAGTGCAGCTTTTATATTTAACTGAACAAAATAATTCTCACTACCCAGAAAAGGGGAGACCAAAAAGATTGTACACTTCATAAAGAAAAAGTTTTTTTTCAAGTATGCATTTACTTTCCAGGAGCAAGCTAAAGAGGCTCTTTTTTATAAGATGATGAAAGAAAAACGACTTGAGTTAGTCAACTATTTGTGTCTGAAATATGAGAAAATAATATCAATTGATGTCCTAAAAGATCAAGGCCAAGGTGCTTTCGATTGACCTTATTCTGGAATAGGAATACATAGAATATTGTGGAACATGAATTTAAGTATCCTGGAATGAGTGGAGTATGTTCCATAGACATAATTTTCCTTGAGTTTCATCTAGTTTTAACAAAAACAAAGACAGTAACGGACATTGTTAGTGACAATAGACCTTGTCACGGTTTTCGACGCCATCTTGACGAGTAGGCAAACGCGTGAAAAATTACAATGTTTGTATGAGAATCTAATGTCGAATAATTTCCGTACAATGGCTGTTCTGAAAAAAATATCAATTGTAAACTAAAGCTTCACTCCTAAGGATTCTCCCGAAAAAAATTGAGGGAATTACATGCGCTAGAAGACCTAGAACTACTCCTTTGTCTGTAAGAAAGTCCCGGGAAAAATTACGGACAAATATATGGAAAATCTAAAGCAAGCCTCTGGAGAAATTTAAGCACAGGTACGCCCCCAAAATTTTTTAGTGCGATCCTTTGCTTTGTAGCTTTAGTTTACAACTTAAATTTTTTTCAGAACAGCCGTTTTACGGAAATTATTCGACATTACATTCTCATACAAACACCGTAATTTCTCACACGTTTGCCTACTCGTTAAGATGGCGTCGAAAACCGTGACCAGGTCTATAAACAGCACTTAAACAATGACGATAGGGCGATATGGAAGAAAAAATTACTAGAGCAGACAGGAAACTCTTTGGCATATTTCCTTGCAACAGGGAAGAGGGAAATATAAATCGGCAAACCAACATCATGCCAACAGTTTCCTTGTCTTCTTTAAACATAATTTATTATCTCCACTAACAAATCATCTTCTAGAATTTCTTCACACTTAAACAAAGCAATATCCTCATAACAACAACGTTGATTGTCAAGCGAAGAAAGATCCTCGCAGTTGTGAACGCAATTTATGCAATTGCGTAAGAAGCCTGAAAAAAATTCAGGACTTCAACGGGATTTGAACCCGTGACCTCACGACACCGGTGCGACGTTCCAGCCAACTAAGCTATGAAGCCACTGATGTTGGGAACTGGTCAATATGTGGTCATATGTTCCCGTGATGTTGATTGTATTATTAATTGTGACATTACTTGGACAACAGAAAATCTTCCTTTACAAAAAAAAAACACTATATCCCAGGAAAATTCGAATCATATTCTTATTCCAGATTTAAAGGTCGTTGAATGTACATTGATGTACTTATCCTTTATACCAACTAATGACTGGATCCACAGAGAAACATGAGGAATCAAGAAACGCTACGAGAACCAGGTAGACAAAAGAACTTTGAAAACAGGAGAATGACAAGTCTCAAGGGACAATAATTAGTATGTACGTAAATAAGTAAGTAAGTAAGAAAGTAAGTACGTAAATACGTAAAAAAGTAAGCAAGTTAGTTAGTAAGTAAGGAAGGAAGGAAAGAAGAACACGTGTAAGTAAGCAATCAGTTTACTTACTTATTAATTTTAAAAAGAACACATAAATCACCTTTAGGTGAGTATGATACAAGGCGCGTTCTTACCTGGCGTCCAGATGCAACACTGAACTCCATCATAGCATTTGGCAGTTTCATCTTAGTTGCATTGCTTTGAGCCATTTGCAGGTTTAGCCTCCAGCTTACTGCTTGAAGCTATTCAAAACAAATTAAAGCTTTTATCACCTGACAAAGTTTCATAAATTAAGTAATGAACTTATGACTATAAGAAATTTATTAATGATGTGTATTGATTACATGTACCTGTTTAGGTGCCAGGCTTCTTTGCTTCAGCTTCTCTACGACAGACTTTCCATTAGAAGTCCACAGATCCACTATTGCCTGAGTCTTGAATACAAAATTGCAACATGAACTGCTGAAAACTGAGTAAATGTAACAAGTAATCCCATAATAACAAAAATATGAGTTTCCTTAATTTTATAGGTACAGTGTATTACGTTAGAACCCCTCCCCCCAAAAAAAAATGAGAACAAACAGTCAACAGCGAGTAAAAGGGAAAACCAGATGATTTTGAACCATACAAACAAAACAAAGGACAAAAGTATCCTGCTAAAACAGGCTTTTCCTTTTGCTAAATTTCTAGCTGAAAATTTGTAATAAACAGCATTAGTTGTAAATCCCTGTGGTAAACTTCTGTCAGTTTTCCCCTAAGTGTCTTCAAACCGTGAATGCAATTTATTTCATGCCAAGACAGACCTCATACATCAGGAGAAATAATTTTACAGTACTACTTTTTGCCAAAGAGCAGCCTCACGAAGACGCGAGGCTAATAGGGCCGTGCGCGATTGTTCCAGGGGCAGGAAAAATCTCGAATCGATGTAACATAGAGTAATGTAAGGCAACCATGACGTAATGCAGGACATAGAATGCATTGTTTTCCAGCGAGCTCGTGATACAGATCAGAGAATCCACGAGCCGTGTGCGTGTTTGTAATTCCCGTGCTCATCCGGTCTTCAACCAATCATCGGGTGGATCAGTTCCATCCTACGCTATATCTGTCGCATTGGCCCGCTGGAATTTTTTATTGCATGCCGCTAAGAAAAAGAATAACGCAGCGAAATCTTTTGTGTCTTTGAAGCAAAATAATTCGAAAGGCTTCACTGGCGCACCCTAAAGTTTTTTAGCTTAAAAAGAGGAATTTTTAGGTTGCTTTTAAGACCACTAAATTTTACGCAAAATGACTTGTGCGCAACTTTGGACAAAAACACCTACTTCAATATCTCGACAAATTTGCTGCGTAAAGTCGGTATTTCAAATTCTTTACGCAGTAGAACAGTTTAGTTCACTATTTTCAAAAGACAAATTAAAGCAAGGGCACACATACACCAAAACCATGATCCGCCTTCCCCGCGCATGTTGTGGGAGAACTGCCGTGCGGTTCCTTGCCAACAGCTCCCACATGTGTTGTGTGGAACTGGCACTTACAGGACTTGCCTCGGCAGGAAAGGGTCTTTTATACACAGGTTTTCCCCGGTCAATGACCGACGGCTATGCCATTCTGATGAGCCCCAGTAAGGGCGAAACTGCTGTCCATGGCTGCCACCGCCCGCGTGATATGGCTGTGCGCATGCGTGAGGTAACGGCCAGGCCGTGGGTTGGTTGGCCCCTTGCTTTAATTTACTGGTAACTCGTGATCCACCTTCCCTGCGCATGTGGTGGTAGGACTGCTGTGCGGCTCCCAGCCAACAGTTCCCACATGTGTTGTGGGGAGCTGGCGCTTGATAAACTGCTTTGCACTCACCTCGGCAGTAAATTGTTGTTAAGAGGCGGCTATTTTTCATCAATTACTGCATTTAAGAGATCATAATAGGACAGCTGTCCTGTTATGGCTCTTGCTGCATTTCATGACATTTCTAAACAAATTCAACAGCGCGTGCGTGTAAGTAAAATCTTTGTTCGTTGGAACTCAGCGATAGCTATAACTAGTATAAAATTGTTAGTGGATACAACGTAACAAAGTATGAGCCATAATAAAGCATGGTCCACAGACCAAAGAGTGGTATAAAATATGGACTACAGACTACACTGGGTTTAAAAAGGTGGTTAGAAGGGTTAAAAACAAAAAGACGATTTTTATGACTAAAGAAAAAACATATAACAGGTAAAAATTTACTTTATTTTAGTGAGAGTATTTAATTTTTTGGCGCAAGAGTTTTTGCGTTTATACTGCAGTCCACGGCAAGTATTTTAGACTGACTGACTAAAGAATACCTTTTCATCTGTTAATTCGATATTTTGTAGCTGCAGCTTCAACAATTGTGCTTTGGCATTGTGATAAGCAGCCTAGGAGACAAAATCATTTAATACTGATAATCTACTTAACATCATAAAACACCAACTCTGACATTCTACTTCAATCATCCTTCAGGCATACTTAGAGATGCCAGCCTCTAAAGATCTTAAATATGGAGCCTCTCTTTGACAGTTCAGTATCAACTAACCCAGCTTGCTTAACTTGACCTAGTCCACAAATGATGACATGGGCGTGGATCAGGATAAAATTTGACAGGTTGAGTCACGCCACTTCCCTGCATAAATTAGGATGTTTATTGTCTTAAAAAAAGGAGTCACTTGTAGAAAGTCGTAAACTAGCCCAAGGTTTTATCTTATTCCAAGGAAAGATTTTGGAGCCGTTAAAGTAACCGAACAATGTAAGATTCAGCTCTCTGTAGATCAGGCAGTTTTGAAGAGTTGCTAACCAATCACTACGAACAGACATCGTGTACGGCCGGTTGTTTAGTAACTTCAGTAATTGTCTTGTTTGTCGTCCTGAAACTAAGTGTCTTCTTTAGATTCCTCTGCTTAAGCTTTTAGCAGAGAATCCAAGCAGGATGCAAGTTTTGCTGTAGAGCTATCTGGCTATTTTTCTCAGAGGACAGGAAGTGAATCTTCAATGAAACTAAAAAAACTAAGCAAAAACACAGAAACTGTGAAAGGTTTGAACCCAGGAGTCATTTCAACAGTAGGTTGTGTTTGATCGTCCGGGTGAACGTAGTCCTGAATAGGACTGTTGTTGTTGACAGTGGCTGACGTTTCGACAACGTCTGCGGTGGTCATCTTCAGAGTCAAAGTGAGTGGTATCACGTCAGTTGATGGTATTATACTCTGGTTATTGATCTGATTGGTCAATTACGTCGCGATGTTTTTGGTCGTCTGTCAGTTAAGCCGTGATGTTATTGGCTATGAAGAGTCGTAATCAGTAATGGGTGCGTTTCGATCTGTCTATTGTTATTCAAATGGTCAGTTCTCCAGTCGTTCTCTCGTAGTTAGTAGGGAACTTAAGAACCACGACGAAGTTCACGACGACGACGTCTGTTGACTGGGAAAGGACTGGAACGAGAACGTCAGTTTCGGCGGGAAAAAGGAAACTTAAGATGCATGTCGATCGGTAGGTCGACGACAACGAAACTGAATGTAAACAAACATGTAGAAGTAGAACAACTGTGATGTCAGTGTGATGTTCGTTCGCAACAAAGTTTTTTCGCAAAGGCGTCTTTTAAGACGATGCAAGATCTTATTTTATAAGCCGTACGTCTACTTTCATTTACAATGAAGAATTTTTAGTGTTGTCTGACCTTTTCGAATGGAAAAATCTCTGCTTTCCGTACGAAGGGTATTCAACTTTCAACCTGAATGACATGACCGAGTCCGAGTGTCTGTCAGAGTTTAGATTTGCAAAAAGAGACATTCCGATGCGATAGCTGTTTTCCATATAAAGTTCATCTCCTCTATGTTAAAGATATGATTTGCCTGACCTAAATACGTACAAATAAATTTGTCACTTACGAGTTCGCTCGCTCGGCCTGCACAGCTCAGTGTTGTCTTCGAAGTAAACACAATTCATCAGTCAAATTTTCAATCAACATCGCTTGTTAGGAGAAAAAAGAAAGGATACCTGGATTTACGAGGTGAAAAAATACAAAGCCCTTGAAAAATAGCTTAAAAACAGGGAGTTATACCTGCCGAAGCCTGTGGATTGCAGGACGACGTGATTCTACTGTGTTTGGCGTCGTCGACGACACCACGACGACGAAATTTGTTAACCGCGCTTGCGCAGTACACGGTATCTCGCTTCCGGTCGTCGTCGACAAAGTCGTCGTCGTGGTTCTTAAGTTTCCTAGTTTTGCCCGATCTCGTCAGTAAGTCGTTTGTACGGCGCTGGTAACTGTTGGCTACGATTCAGTGGCGTTTGTTCTAAGTTAGTAAACCAGCTTTATAAAGTAAGACGTTAAAAGTCAGACGTTGTTTCGTTTAAAGACGAAACATCAAATTGACTGGGACTCTGCGACAGGTATAACGTATTCTACAGACTACTATCAACGTCTTACTTTAGAGAGCTGGTTTACTAACTTAGAACAAACGCCACTGAATCGTAGCCAACAGTTACCAGCGCCGTACAAACGACTTATTGACGAGATAAAGCAAAACTAACTAAACTAACTACGAGAGAACGACTGGAGAACTGACAATTTGACTAACAATAGACAACTGTTTAACTGTGACAATAGACGGATCGAAACGCACCCATTACTGATTACGAGTCTTCATAGCCAATAACTGACTTAACTGGCAGACGACCATCGCGACGTAATCGACCAATCAGATCAATAACCAGAGTATAATACCATCAACTGACGTGATACAACTCACTTTGACTCTGAAGATGACTACCGCACAGGTTGTCGAAACGTCAGTCACTGTCATCAACAACAGTCCTATTCAGGACTACGTTCACCCGGACGATCAAACTTAACCTACTTTTGAAAAACACAGAAGTTCGGTATTCGTTTGGCAAATGACAGAATCTTGCATAAATTAACATTTTATGTGTCTGTCCTCTTATTGATAATATTGAAAATTAGTAAAATCCAACTAGTGGTCCATCATCAATGCTGCGTTCTGATAAGTTGAGCTAGCGAAAAGCGCGAGCTTTTTGGCGGCAAAAAAGGATTAAAGCCTAGCTTTAACTAGCTAAAATTTTTTAATTCTCGATGTTTTTGACCAACTAGTTGGATTTTACTCAAACAATAGTTTTATTGGAAATGGCGTTTCCAGGGGTTTTCAAGAGGTGTTTCCCACTGCGGACGCCATGTTGTTTCGTCAGAATGCACGCAAGACTGGGAACAATGCCGTCCAAATTTCTCTAAGGTTCAAACGTTTCACAGGTCTAAACCTGTTAGAATATGGGTTCAATGTCATTCAAAACTGGGAAACAGATGCTTTACCATTTTATTTGATGGTGCTTATTTCTTGATAGCAGTTATGGTAGAAGGAGACGAAAATAGCCGGCTAGGGATGGCTAACAAGCCGGCGGTTATTGGCAGCCCTGACGCAAATTTCCCTCCAAGTATAAGCCTAGCCGATTTTGAAGCACAAATTTCCCTCCATATATATTTAAGCCCCTCCGAATATAAGCCCCTCCAAAAAAGGGTCTTTGAATAATATAAATAATATAAGCCCTGGCACTTATTTTCGGAATTTTACGGTATTTTGACAGCACAACAAAACAAATTTCTTATATGTCCTTGACTGGGAATGATAGATACAATTTGGAATCATCTACGTAGGATTCTAAGGAGCAATAATGTGGAACGCCAAGCATGCAAAGTGCAAAAACGAATGTGGAGTGTGAGAAGAAAAAAAGAAAGAACCCCACTGGCACATCCTCGACCCCTTAAGGTGGGGCTTAGTAAGTCTATAGTCTACAGTGGGTGCTTTATAATTACCATTTCTACTTCTACTCCATCAAGAGCTCAATTTATTTACTCCTACTAAAAAACCAGTCCCTGGGAGACTGACCAGGAAAAACAAGTAATAAACCATGCAATAATCCTCAAACATTCCAGATAGAATCAAATTTTTTTCAGTTTTCCAAATTTCTCAATTTCTGCTTCTCTATATACAGCTGTAAATTCTGAGTGCTCCTTGTTTGTTTTTTCTTTTCATATTTCCTTTATCCTATGGATTATCATCACAATTCTTAATTTACCTGCTCTAAAATGAATGTACATGTTTCTAATACAATGTAAAGGTCATCAGATTCAAGTCCTAAAGCTGCTTGAAGTTTTTCCTCCTCATCTTTTGAAAATGCTCTTTCATCCTGGAAAGACAACAATCAAAAATTAAATCAGCACATAAGCATTTTGATGCCTTTTTGATAATATAAGGGTTCTAATATATCGCCTACAGGCAAACAAAAGCGATGTCCTTTAGAGGAAGTTACGAACAAAAATATGAAAAAATAAAAGAAACAAATTAACCATACCCTTAAATGAAGTTTTTGTACAATTCGACTCAGCAAAAGAGGAAACCTAGCAGTGTCTAGGCTGTTGACTAACTGAACCGCTTTCTTCAACCTTAAAACAAAATGGTGATATCAGATGGTCAGGAAAAGTCAGAATGGGTCGATAGCAAAGTATAACATACTCTTGATCATGGTGTATTATTGGATAAGTTAACATCACTAGGGTTCAGTAAGGCTTCCGTGCAATGGTTTAAGGCTTACTTGACAGATAGGACAAAAGCGTTGCAGTGAATGGGTCAACATCTGATCCCCGATCCATTTTGTTTGGAGTCCCGCAAGGGTCCTTGATCGGTCCCTTGTTATTTATAATCTACATCAACAATGTACCTTCAATGGTAAAGCATTGTAAAATCCAATGTATACAGATGATACCCTCCTATATGTTAGCAGTAGCTCTATCACTAGCATAGAATCTATGCTATCTGAAGATCTTAAGCATGTAATAGAGTGGCTTAATAATAACTTCCTCTACCTTAACTATAGCAAAACTAAGGTAATGTTCACTGCTACACATCAGAGGCTTATCCTAGTTGATAGTTTCACAGTTAGCGCAAGGTCATGAGTCTAACAGGTTAAGTATCTTGGCGTTATGCTGGATCCATACCTCTCATGGAATGCCCACATAGACAACATCGGGCGCAAAATAACGGCAAAGCTTGGCATGCTTCATAAAGCGCACAAGGTCATTCCGCGTGAGTCATGTTTAACACTTTATAATACCATGATACTTTCAATATTCGACTACTGCGCTGTCGTATGGGATTCTTGCAGTAAGGCTGACCAAGAGTTCTTGAATACGCTGCATAGGCTGCCGTCAGTATTGTTGAAGGCTACACAGTCTCACAATTGCAGATATCTCACACTTTCGGTTGGCCTAGGCTCCAGTCCTGCCAGAACTATCTAACGTGCATGCTAGTGTTTAATAGCCTTCATGGCCTGACTCCTGCATATTTACTTAATTAATTTAGTGACACGCACGATTTCCATTCATATAACACGCGCCAAAGAGATTTGCTCCGTCTGCTGCTAGCTTGGACAACTAAGTACCAGGGCTCCTTCAGGTTCTGCGGAGAGTAGTATAGGGCGCACCGGTTAGGCCTCTATTTTGCATAGGAATTTCATTAACTTGCGCAGGAATAAATTAACGCCGATGACGTCATAACTTTTTGTCTTTATCTCATCATTTCTATTGTTTTTCCTACACCACCACCACATTTCTATTGTTTTTCTTCCCACCACCACCACCGCCACCACATTTCTATTGTTTTCCCTCCACCACCACATTTCTATTGTTTTCCCTCCTCCTCCTCCTCATTTCTATTGTTTTTCCTCCTCCTCCTCCTCATTTTTATTGTTTTTCCTCCTCCTCATTTCTATTGTTTTCCCTCCTCCTCCTCCTCATTTTTACTGTTTTCCCTTCTCCTCCTCATTTTTATTGTTTTCCCTCCTCCTCCTCCTCCACCACCACCTCCTCCTCATTTCTATTGTTTTCCCTCGAAAAGGCCAAAATCAAAAATCAAAATCAGACCATCACATTTGAGTTTTGGCCTTAGAGGCCGGATTTTGGCCTTTTTGAGGGAAAACAATAGAAATGAGGAGGAGGAGGAGGAGGGAAAACAATAAAAATGAGGAGGAGGAGGAGGAGGAGGAGAAGGAGGAGGGAAAACAATGAAAATGAGGAGGAGGAGGAGGAGGGAAAACAATAAAAATGAGGAGGAGGAAAAACAATCAAAATGAGGAGGAGGAGGAGGAAAAACAATAAAAATGAGGAGGTGGAGGAGGAGGGAAAACAATAGAAATGAGAAGGAGGAGGAGGAAAAACAATAAAAATGATGATGAGGAGGAGGAGGGAAAACAATAGAAATGAGGAGGAGGAGGTGGAGGAGGAGGAGGAGGAGGAGGAGGAGGGTAAACAATAGAAATGTGGTGGTGGTGGTGGTGGTGAAGGGAAAACAACAGAAATGTGGTGGCAGTGGTGGTGGAGGGAAAACAATAGAAATGTGGTGGTGGTGGTGGAGGGAAAACAATAGAAATGATGAGATAAAGACAAAAAGTTATGACGTCATCGGCGTTAATTTATTCCTGCGCAAGTTAATGAAATTCCTGTGCAAAAAAGAGGCCTAACCGGTGCCCCCTATACTACTGCAGAGACAAGATCTGGAATACGCTTCCTCTGGCCCTGAGGAGCGAGCATGATTTAAGTAAGTTTGGGTTTGGCCTAAAAAGGCACTTTAGATCCAAGCCAAATTGAGCTTCCAATACTTTCGCTATATTTAGTTGTTCCATTTTTTTTTATCTGTTATCTATTTTTGTGTTGTTATTTCTTTTCATCAGTGCCCCATTCAAACCAGCCTCGCTGAACTGGGCACCCTGACTAAATATTGTTCAAAATAAATAAATAAATAAAGTAAAATTAGGCACAGTATCAAGGCTACAACTAAGCCCCCTTTTCTCTTAAACCAAATAGACACAAAAACATGAGTTTGTTAAAAAATTATGGAATGCAGAATGATGGAACCTGTAATCTGGAATCCACAACAACAACAGATATTACTTTTTGAAGATCATCAGTATACCCTTGAGGTATACCAAACTTGTCTTAGAGGATTTAAGGCAAGATTTGACATCATAAATTTGCACGAACTGTGTTCAATAAGATAAGTAGTTCAGAAGCCATTTTTTGTAATTTATTAAATTCAAGGCAATTTTCTTTCATACATCAAGTAGTGGCTGTTTTTTAAGGCTATAAAGAACAAATTAAGCTAAAATTATTTCGTGACCTTACGCTGAGTTGAATTTTTAGCGATGTTGTTGATATCTCGTTGACGAAAGTTGCCCCTACGCGTGAACAGTAACTACGCAAATCACAGGAGTTGACAATTTTTTTTTGGTGGAGAAACACATCGCTAGCAATTTGCATATTGATTCTTCTCACCTTGGTTTGTTCATTAAGAAAAATCAAGGAAACTAGAAGTGGTTTTAACGTTTCGGTTTCTGGTTTCACCCGCCGAGAAAAACCGTCTGTGAAACCAAGCTGAGACATCAGCTGTTAGTAACCAATCAAATTCACCTTGCATATTTAAAGAAGTAACGTTTGAGTTTTTGCATGGATCTTGTGCAAACGCGTGGGAAAATATGGTGGAAGATGCACTGAGAAAAGAATGGGAAGTTTTCGGGTTTGAAAGACTCAGCAAGCATCAAGAGGAAGCCTTGTGACTTGTTGTTAAATCAAAGAGCGAAGCTTTCGTGAATCTTCCAGCTGGTTTTGGAAAACCTGTTATATTTCAGGCTTTGTCTATTGTATATTCTTTTGTGGAACTAACAAAATAGAGCTAAAAAAACCGGATGCTCTCGCAGGCTATAGCCTGTGTACAACCGCCCTTTTTCTAGCCTGGGAACCGCAGACATATTTTTTCCTCAGAACGATGCGTTTATGGATTGATGAAATAAGCACCAAGAGGATTCGTACTGAAGAAAAGATTAGGGGAATTTTTTTTTCTGTTTGACTATGGAGTCAATGATTTATCACACCTTGTTGTTTTGATCATATTCAAAACAATAAATGTCCTAATGACAGTAGACGCATCATGCCGTTTGTTGCTTCTGTTCCTTTCCGGTTCCTTGCAAAGGCCCACATCACATACATAGCTTAAGAAGCCATTGCTTCACAAAGAAGTCAGCATTCAACGTCACAGGAAACCTCGTTATAGTTGTGAAATTCACCTTTCAAATCGTATTTGGTAACTCTCACCAAATCCAAGACAAGCCAGCGCGTAAGGTCACGATGAGTCACTCGAGCTGCATTCTATCCTTTGATCTGATCGGCAAACATCAAAACAAAAGGTTTTACGTTATGGAAACCGTTTTGTTGCTCGCGTTTCCAGATGTTACTTTTCGGAGGGAGAGAAACGATGACCGGAAATACGTCTGCGGCTCACAGGCTAGTCAATCGATAACAAATCTGAAAACTCAGTCAGAAACTCCAATTAAACAGTGTGCTAATGACATGTTAAAAGACAGCTTCTCAAAAGAAACTTAACCCAAAATATAACGCCCGTTTTCCTCAGTCTTCGAGGTAACGCCACGTGAAATTTTTCGTTGCTTTCTCGCTGGAAGTGTAGTCAATAATTTATGCCAAAAATTGCCGCTGCGATGATTTTCGCGCTACGAGAATCCACGATGTGATTCTTGTCGTGAAGGAAAGGAGACGCGACTGATAACTTACTTTTGAGCAGTACTGCAAACCCCATAATGCACCTCGTTTACCCCCAAAATGTTTTGTAACCATTATCTTTGATTTCCCATGGGACATCTGTAACACCCAAGAGAAACTGAAAATAAAGGTTATACAAAATTTTGGGAGTTAAACAAGGTGGATTATGGTCTATGTGAAAATGGTCAATAATAATAAAAATAATAATAAAAACAGAAATAACAACATTTACAATAATTCATGTACAGAGAATAGATTTAAGTCAAGCTATAAAGCTTAAGGGTCAGACTTAATTACTATCATTGCAGGCGACAAGAGGAGTCTGCAGACTATTCTTGCTCAGCGGCACGTTATAGATGGCATAGCAAGGTTTTTCCAAAATCTGTCCACATTCTTGGGATGCCAGGGTTCTGCATACTAATATGCAAAATCTCCCAGAATCCTTTGAGGCAAGTTTTTAAAAAAGCTTTATAACATAGCAAAAGTAAATCGTGCGCTCTGATTGGTCAGTTAGCCACTACCATTTGCCCGTGGATGCACGCCAAGAAACTGAGCTAGCGCGGTAAAATTTAGGCAAGTTCAACAAATCTCTCTTGACGGTAAAATACACCGATGAAATGCACAGACCAAAAGTGGAAGTTGAAGAAAATACTAAGCTGTCGTTTTGAAGGAAAAAAGACAAAAGATCAAGCGACAAATTTGCCCTGGATGAATTAATCACTGTTTCCTCACGGTTAGAATCAGCTAAGGGAAAATCGAGCGAGCGAAGATTTAAGGTACATTTTGTGTGTTTTTTATAGAAGAGAAAGTCGGTTTGAAATGTAAATTTATCAATTAGCATTGTGTTATTGACTTTTTGGTCAAGCTGATGCTAAATTCAAGCAAATATTTTAGGAAACACGCTCAAATTTGAGACAGCTTTGTTGTGAAGTTTTCATCGCATCGATTAAAAATTTTAGTTGAGTTTAAATGGGCACATTACGCTGGAATAAGCGAATTTCATTTGAGTACAGAAACATTTGGGTTTTCAAATAAATTTTTCAAAAAATAACTTCTGTGTGTATTATTTTGTTCCTCAGTGTTCATTCATAACAGTCGTTCAGAGAACGGTCGAAAAACAACAGCTTCAGCGCCGGCTGTGTCGGCGAATTTCAGTTGCAACTTTGACTTTCACAGCTGGATTTCCCCAGACAGA